GGGGTAGAACAGGATTGAACAGATTCTGGAGATGTAATCACTGGTCGAGGCAACATTCGAAGAAAACATGGACAATGAGAACTGTTGTAGGATGCGTACAGGAGAGCAAAAGGTTTTACCTCACATTACAGGCCTATCTCCACAAATGACCTAGTCAAGAGAGCAGCTTTCATCTCAGGATTCTTGAGTCGGAAGGCACAACACTTCATTCTCCAAGGACATTGTTGATTTCCGTAATTGCTAGCAGAGAACTCTTGGATCCAATGAAGCATTATACAGATCCACTGCTTGCTACACCACAACAGCAACGTTTCATCTTTGTTAGCTTATCTAATACTAAGTGTTATTTGCCTAATGAAAAATATTTAGGATCCTAGATGATAAAACCCCAGCTATCCACGCCAAGATATTCACCTGGCTTGTATTGAGCTTTTTAATATCGAAGGCAAAAGAGAGCATTTTCCAACCATTTTTTAATGAGCTTCATGAATCCAGATTAATACAAAAAGAAAAAGGATTCTGAGGTGTTGATATACAGAACAGAGCACATTTCTTTCCAAGGAGGAACAAAATCTTGACATTTAAGAGGATAAGTTCAGTCCACAGTAGAGCATACTTTAAAAAAAATAAATTTAGACTGGTCAAAGAGTAAAGTACCTTGGGCCATCGGTCCTAACGTGAGGCGGAATGACCCACTTTAGTGGTTTACTCTTTGGATAATGAATATTTACAAATCTTTAGCAACATCAAGGAGGTTTGCCGGAGACAACTCCAATGCAACATGCCTGCCTTGCTTCACTAAAGGAATGCATCACAAAATGGAGGTGGCAAGGAGCAATAAAGAACACATCACAGCTTATCAAGCTTCTATTGGAGGATCAGATTAGAATATTTTCAGGTGCCATTTTAAAATTGTTTAAATGCAAATGCCCCTTTAAGCACTTTCAGTGAGCCGATATTAAGAAATTGGTCCAAAGATCTTTGAGGAAATTTTTTTAGAAGGTTTTAGAAGCTATCAGGCTGTGTTGGACAGGTCAATTTTCACGCATGGTTTCAGAGACAGAGTTTCTTAAACACACACTAAAAAGGAAAACAAAGGACAATTTCAAACCTCTGTGAGCATCTATAACACAATCGCAAGGTAAAAATGTCAGATACAGGTAGCCTCACAGGGCTTGAAACTCTTACAGTAAGTGAATGCTCATGGACATTAGGCAGCTCCTCAATGAGAGGAACATCCTACGGATACTTGACACGGTAAAAAAGGAGTCTGTCTTTAATAGAACATTTGAACCAGAACACAAAACGTAAAGAAAAAATAAAAATAAAAAAAGTCTTCCAAGAGCGCATCTTTTTAAATACAGCCAGCGAAGCGATGATCTTGCAATCAGGATTTTTTTTTTTTACTCGTGTGAAGCTGAGGACAAGAAGTAGGCAAAAGTGTAAAGGCACTGGAGCATTGTGAACATCCATTCCAAACAGTGAACTGACACCAAGACATGATTCTTTTCCAACAAGGTCTTATGGACTATTCTGAAGTGCACAAAACCGACTTTAGTCACTACTATTGTAAAATGACTTTTTGGATTGTGGTCATCAATTCCAAGATAAAGGCAACCAAGTTGACTGAACTCAGAAGTTCGAAAATGGCAGTTTTGTCTTTCTGCTTCGGTCAAAAAAAGGTCTTCCAAGAGCGCATCTTTTTATATACAGCCAGCGAAGGGATGATCTTGCAATCAGGATTTTTTTTTTTACTCGTGTGAAGCTGAGGACAAGAAGTAGGCAAAAGTGTAAAGGCACTGGAGCATTGTGAACATCCATTCCAAACAGTGAACTGACACCAAGACATGATTCTTTTCCAACAAGGTCTTATGGACTATTCTGAAGTGCACAAAACCGACTTTAGTCACTACTATTGTAAAATGACTTTTTGGATTGTGGTCATCAATTCCAAGATAAAGGCAACCAAGTTGACTGAACTCAGAAGTTCGAAAATGGCAGTTTTGTCTTTCTGCTTCGGTCTAGACATTATTCTAAAACAGCACAAGTGGGCTGAGATCTATTGGTGCAGTTATCTAGTAAAATTAGTAATTCTGAACAATCAATACATACCGTAGCTGTCGTAACTGTCTCTGTAGGATCCACCAGAACGGTCATATCCACTCTGGCTTCTAAAACCAAAAGTATTATTTGCCATATTTAAAGTGTTCATGGTTACAATGATCATAAAATCATTAATTGTGCAAAATTGTTCCATGCTTAAATCCCTTACCTGTTATCCCTGTATCCACTGCCGCTGCCACCGGAGTATCCACTACTCCTGTTGGAGTATCCGCCACCACTGTAGGATCGGTCACTTCCACCATAGCTCCTCTCTCCTCCCCCATAGCCTCTATCTCCACTACCATAGGATCGGTCACCTCCACCATAGCCTCTATCACCACCAAAGCTTCGGTCACCTCCATAGCTTCGGTCTCCACCATATCCTCCACCACCTGTGTAACAACAACATAAAAAGTTAAACAGATGAAATAAAACCCATGCAAGATACTCAAGATGCACCCATTCTGGTGGACCACCAGCTTTGTCATGATAATTACAAGGCTACTTCAAATGCAAATGCAGCCATCTGTTAGTACAATTGCATTCAAGATTAAGAACACCAACCTCTACCTCTGCCTCCCCTGAAGAACCCCCTGCCACCTCCAGAACCTCCTCTGAAACCACCAGACCGTCTACCAGATTTGCCAGCTTCATCAACGCGAATCGGGCGGCCATCTACAGACTGCAAAAAAAGATGCATTTTATGGTTAGAAACTCACGTTAGGCCTCCACCCAGTTTGACTGATGAACTTCCTGCAGTTTACCATTAAAATATAGCAATCAGAACACATTCAGGTATCAAGATGGTTACTTTTTCAGGACTAGAAATAAACTTTAAAACATTTGGTTACAAATTTCTCTGTCCTTAAAGGGTGGTGATCTTACCTTTCCATTCATTGCAGCCATGGCATCCTTTGCATCCTCTGGATTTTCAAAAGTCACAAAGCCAAAACCTCTGGAACGGTCGGTCTCACGGTCCCGGATGACATCAACTGAAGCAAAAATAACACCACATAATCAAGAATAAAGCTGTGAAAATTTAAACAAACCTCACTTAAACTGCTTAAAACAAACCTTTGGCAATTGATCCATATTTGGAGAAAGCCTCCTCCAAGGACTGCTCTGTGGTATCATAGCTCAGACCACCAATGAAGAGCTTTCCCTCGTCAGACATGTTGAATCACCTGCTGGAAAATTTTACAATAAAATAAAGTTACATAATTACAATATTTAAAAAAAAAAATACAATTTTTAAAAACACCAAATAAGTTCTTGAGACACTAACTTAAATCGCCGTATTAACATGCGTCGTATTATTTTTTTTAAAGTGCGCAACAAGGAAACGCCATTTTCTACCCGTCTTCTTCACAGCGTGCTGCAGCCATTTTGCCACAGATACACGTTTTACCAGATAATACCCCTTTGAATTCTACGTTTTCAGATCTTCATCTAAGTTACTTTTTAAATATCGCATGAATAAATAACCATTCATTATTAAAATTAACAAATTTGGTTAAAAGTAGGTCAGTAGAACTAGGTCACGTTGTGCTTTAAGAGGAACAAAGAAACCTATAAATTCCGACAGAATTAGCTCTATTTATACACCGCATTCGAAGAATTAACTAAAGGAGCTGTTACAACACAAAACGCCTACAAAATGGTTTTATTTACATTTCTCAATAAATACATTTTAAAAAAAGCTTATAAACACAACAAATGAACCACCATTACAAACTATACATCAATATAAAGCAACATCAGAATAAAACGTTTAACTTTAGCCCAAACACATTCGAAGAAGTGCAGTATTTCTTACCTCAGTTTTATCTCGAACAAACAGAAAGGTTGCAGGACGCGACGCCGGCTGCGGCAGAACAGGAGCCTACACAGAAAATGGCGCCAGTTTAAAGGCTTCACGTGACTGCAGACCTCTGAGGGCGTGTTCTCATTGCGTTGCGTCACAGGCTTGTACATGCATAAAGAATTGGCTTCCTTTGTTGTTTGTCTCATCTCTTTTGGTATTGAGATTACACTTAGAATCTCTGGAAAAACATATCGAGTGTTTTTCGTGGTATAATTCCTGATATCTCTTTGAAATATGAAAATGTTATTCTAGGATATACACATGAGAGTAACAGTCAGATGTTTTTTATTTATTCAATCTTATCTTGTTCCTGGCTTAATATTTTATACATAATTGTAAATTTTGCAAGCGTAAGCCTTTCTATAGAAATTTTCTTGAAGATTTAAAACTCTATATGTGTTTGATTTCTGACTCTACTAATAAGAAAGTAAAAACTGTGAATCTGTTCAAAAGGTAGGCAACATTATTGTCTTGCTCCTTTGCATATAATAGGCTATACTGTCATTCTGTTGCATCTCTTTGTATTAATAAAAAAGAAAAGAAAAGAAAAAAATTGCTACCTTTGTTGTACTTCAATGCAGTAGCCTACTGTTTGCTTTCTTGCAATAAAAGAAGCCTAACTTTGTCACTGTGAATGTTAATTATGCTCTTACACAAAAATACGATTTTAATTTATATAAAGATATTATATAATCTTACATAGGCCTAAAGGTCTTAGATTAATCGTTACAATATCATAAGGAAAATGTGCACAAAAATGTGTTGTTGTTTTTGCATTTGTTGAAATATTTGAATAAGGTACAACACTGATATGTTTTCAAAAATGTTATTGAAAACATAGTTTATTTTAGTGTATTTTTTTATGTGGATGTGCAATGCTCGATTATTCTATAGGCCTAATAGGCTATATTTATTGTACTTTGTACTATAGCCAGTAGGCTATTTGTCTGCGACGATAAAAAAGTAGTGCTAGTTAAACTCAATGTAAACATATAACCGAATCAGTCAATACCAAATGCAAAAATCATTAACTGATATGGCATAATCAGTGATTATCATGAGATTTTTTAAAGTTTTTTTTTTATGTGTGACATGAGAGGTTGATTATATCAACAAAAGCTCGGAATACAAGGCCACTAAATGTATCTGCAGTGAAAACATTGTTTCACAATCTCAAATATTTGCAAGAAACATATATAAATACATTTGATTATCTTTTTAGGCTACTTTTTCATGCTGAATCCACTTTAAACATTTACATTAAAATTCATGTTTCCTTTGGAGCACACGATTATACATCTGATTATATTTGTATAGCCTTATAAGGAACTGATTATAACCTGTTTTAAATCTGTTAACTCAAACTTGTAGGTTTTTAGATCATGTGTAACCCAGGGTCATGTGCAGATTTGCTAAAAGTGTCATGACATTCTGATTCACTGCAGATTCATAGTAAAAAGAGTAAAAAAACATGGTTATTTCTGATTTAAAAAAAATGAAATGTGAAAAACAAAGATTTGCATGTTTGTGCAAGAACTAGATATTGAGAAGTTGAAACATTTTAAACCAATTCTGCTCTCTGCTTTAATAATCAAAACACAATCTCAGAAATGTGATCATTCTAAAACTGAATATAGTACTAATTTCATTAGCATTAAATGCAGTTTTTTACTGCCACAATCAGCACAGATTCTACAAATAAGATACTGGCATTGGTATCACTCATTAATGGTTCATCAAAGAATTCCATTGTGCTTTCAGTACATCACTATCTATCACCCATCTATTATGTTCCTCTTTAGCATTCTAAACAATGTGGCAGACTGAGGACCCCTGCAGGGCAACAATGACCCCACCCAGGAACAGTTGGATGCAAATTACCAAGATGATTGTGGAGAGACGGTTATCTTTGCAGGACAGTCAGGTAGTACTTCTAGATGTGCTAATGTAGGACAATCAACTACATCCGGATTGTGCTGGCTCAAGTGAACTGATGTGAGTGAGACAGAGATTAAAACTATTGTTAATAAATGCAAAAATAAAACATCTACTGATTGTTATGACATAGATATGACACTAAATAAAAAGTAATAAATAGTATTTCAAAACCTCTAACGTACATATGCAATGAATCATTTCAGACTGGAATATTTCCAAATAAAATGAAAATTGCAAAAGTAATACCAATGTATAAAAATGGAAACAAGCACATATTCACAAACTATAGACCTGTCTCTAAAAATTTTAGAGAAATTATTTAATGATAGATTAGAAAAATGTATAGATAAATATGATATAATAAATGAAAGTCATTGTTATTATAAAACTGTGATTTAACAATAGGATATCGTTATTTTTTATATATTACATGATTATTATAAATACCGGGACATATTAGAATGTTTATGATAATGAGGATTATTATAATGTATTATTGTGATTATTGAGATGGTCCTATTGTATTTGGGTATTTGTATATAAATATTATAATATCACATAAATTATTAGTAACAGACAATGGCAGCAACCATATGGTGTAATATATGGGAATGAATTGGGGGTGGGAGCAAATAAGTTCTAGGCTACTTCTTTCCACTCCCTTTCGAGCAAGTATTATATGTGTAAATATGTGTATGGATATGTGTAACATAATTGTATATGTATGGATACATATATACGTGAGATAAACTGTTCTATTTTTCTATGTACACTCTTAAAAATAAAGGTGCTTCACGATGCCATAGAAGAACCTTTTTGTCTAAATGGTTCCATAAAGAACCTTTAACATCTGAAGAACCTTTCTGTTTCACAAAAGGTTCTTGGTGGCGAAAGAAGGTTCTTCAGATTACAAAAACGCAAGAAAGAGATGGTTCTTTAAAGAACCTTTGACTGAATGGTTCTTTGTGGAACCAAAAATGGTTCTTCTATGGCATCGCTTGAAGAACCGTTTGAAGCAACTTTATTTTTAAGAGTGTATGTGTATTGACATATATTGCTCGAAATAAACTTAATCAATCAATCAGTCAATCAATCAAACCGACATTCTAATGAAACATCGCAAGCGAACAATAGAGGCCGACAATAATGATATAAGCTAAATTACACACTCCTGTTAGTTATGTCAGAATTCGCATGGTCATGGAAAATGTGCAAATCTGTGGTAACGTTAGGCTTCAAATGCACCTTATCCGCTCATGCAGAAAGCTAAAAATAGCCTAGCATCTCTCAGAATTGTGCAGTGACCTGGATTAAGATGCTTCTTCATCTACGAGGCAAGAGAAAGCAAGCCAGAGCAAGGGTGAACCAGCAGGGTTATAAATATAGTCGCCTCGGGACCTTGAGAACTGTCCTCCGCTTCAAACACCCACACATGCGCTTCCTGCACCTCACCACAACTTTCCATTTCTCGAACAAACCCTCCCCCGCCACTCAGCACGGTCAGTATATGAAACGGCATTACATATCTAAAATAATACTAAAACTATACTAACTTCAATTACTAGAATCGCAAAACCTCAGGTTTTGTATTACAATGCCGATAAAGGGGCTGCAATTGTAGATATCAGAAATCTATTGTTTTAATTGCAATTAGCTATTTGACCAGTGGAGGGCAGTAATTGCATACGCCTCGGAATATGTCTGATGTCTTGTGCCTCTCTCAAGGAAGCTTCATCAGCATGTCTGGCTATACATGGAGCAGAATATACATTTATATTTACTTTCATTTTTTATTTTTATACATACACACATTACACACAGATATTGTACACAAATTATTTGTAACATTTATATATTGTTTTATGTAAAATTAGTCTAATATTGACTGTATATATTACAATTTACTAATAATATGTATATATTAAAATATTGTATTTATATATTTTAGTAATATATTAAAATATTATTACTAGAATACTATATATATAGTATTAATTTTTATTTTCAATAAATATCTAAATAGGCCTAAATAAATATATTATAAATATATATTTATATATCGACTGTATATCTTATTAATAGTATTTATTTAATTAATATAATACAGTCTTATATATCTTATACACGCGTACGTGTGTGTGTATAGATAATATTATATCAATTTATATAAATAAATCAGTAAAGAAATACTATTAATAATATATACAGTCTATATATAAATATATAATATATTTGTATATAATATATTTTCTACCATCCATGGAGAGGACAAGCTGTTCTGCGTAAACACAGGCTGGTTTGTCTCTCTCCAGCTGAACATCATGTCTACCCAATCCCCCTAACCGGCTACGAGAGACCCTCTAGCACCACTAAAGAAGAGTACGTGCTGGCCTGTTGTCATAGCAACTGGCCATACCTGCCTAAGGCTACGTTTACACTAGTGCGTTTTTTGTTTTAAAACTCATAACTTTTGCTACGGTTACGCCTGTCGTTTACACTACTCCGGCGTTTTCGACCTTTTGAAAATGGAGACTTTCAAAAACACCGAATACCCCATTTTAGTTTGAAAACACTGGGGTTGTGTTTCAGTGTAAACGGACCAAAACGGAGACTTTTGAAAATGATGGCATGGCTGCCCATATTCTCTCTGCGTATCCTTGACGACCGTGTAAACAATAACTATTTACACGTTTACGCGCATACCCCAGTGTACATGAGTGGTCATGTGACATGCGTTTTCGGTTGTGTAGTGTGGACGGAGATCGTTTCTGAAACGCAGTGAAAACACCAGTGTAGACGAGGATCGTTTAAATTTTAAAACGCATAACTTTTGCTACGGTTACGCCTGTTGTTTGCACTACTCCAGCGTTGTAGACCCTCAAAAATGGAGACTTTTGAAAACGCTGCAGACCCTGTTTTAGTTTGAAACCTCCGGGGTTGCATTTCAGTGTAAACAGACCAAAACTGAGACTTTTTAAAACGATGGCGTGGCTGCCCACATTCTCTCTGCGTATCCTTGACAACCGTGTAAGCAATAACATCATGTTAATTGTTGTACCCATAGATATGTATATCTAGAATCCCCATTCGACCGCTCCAAGCACGCAGACGC